TGTCTCAATGAATGTCAGAGCAGATTTAATGGGTTGAACAACCTATTTCTGCTCATATAAGATGGTCTTATCATCCAAATTTAAATTCCTCATCCCTGGAACCATTATTGTGATTTTTTTTTTGCGCCCACTCTCCAATGTTTTCACATCCTTCCTAAAGTAAAAGCTGTAAATCATTAGGGATGTCCTGATGTTGTAAATGATTCCATGTACTTCCAATTAAAATACTTTTATTTGTGCTCTTGAATTCTTTCTCTGAACTGCCCCACCACTTCCTTTAAGCCCAATTATTCTTCCTAGCTTTTTGTTGCTCCCCCTTACTGTCCTTCCTTTTTGCATAGTTGTTACTTTCTAGCTTACATCTGTTTTAGTTCAATTAGGACATTTTTCTACGTGTAATAGAAACGTAGGTTGTCGGACCCCCTCTTTTCAAACTGGCCTTGTTGTGTATTTCAAACTTTGTTTTCATTTCAGATAGCATACCTTTCTTGTGCTTCTCATAATAACGACTGCTATTTGTGTCATTTTTAATTTTTTATTAACTCGTAATATGGGCACCACTGGCTGGGCCAGCATTTATTGCCCATACCTAGATGTCCTTTGAAGGTGATGGTGAGCTGCCTTCTTCAACTATTGTAGTCTGTTTGCTGTAGATAGATCCACAATACCATGAGAAAGGGAGCTCCTGGACCTTGACCCAGCGACTCGGAGTCAGACGGCAAGTGACTTGTAAGGGTACTTGTCCTTGTTAATTCAACTTTGCCACGCTACAGTGTTTTAAATGATTTGGCCAGCTTGCAGGTTGTTCAGTCCGTTAACCTCTTGGTAATTAGAATATCTTGTGCATTTCAAATAGTTTCTGCTTTTTTAATTTCAAGTATCTATCACTTGATTTTTTTTAAAAAAGATCTTTTTCTACTTTGTTTACATTGGTTCAGAATCCTTGAAACCAACATTTCACACTATAAAGTGAGATGCAACGTGGAGATTAAGTAAAAAGCAATCAACAGAGTGAGAGTTACAGAAAGGTGTTTGTTCCCCTTTTGAGGATGCAAATTAATTCAGCAACTTAAAGTATGGTTTTGAAATTAATTCAGCAACTTAAAGTATGGTTTTGAAACCCTTTGGGGTTACTTGAGTAATTTTTGTTTTTGTGTATTTATTTCAGTGCTCTGCCCTGACCTTAAATTTAGCCTAGACATCCAATAATGACAGACAATAAACGCCTTGCGTACTCCATCATTCAGTTTTTACGTGATCAGCTCCAATCCGGAGATTTGACTTCAGATGCTCAGGAAAGCTTAGAGGGTAAGTGACAAATATTTTGTGATGGGAGTATAGTGAAAATGATAAACTGTAGAGTTAAAGTTGAACACTAACTTGACACCAGAGAACTGTTTTATGTACCTTTTTAAATTCTTTTTGTATGATTGGTTGAGATCAGGGAAAGTCCACTCTATTTTGGATTCTTTGGTGAAATATGCTTTGTGGGTTACCAGCGCTTCTGTGCAAAGTCTCGCACTGAGAGCAGCAGTGAATAGTGGAGTCATTCCCTATCGGGAAAGCTAGAAAATAAGCTGATATTTGCAAGTTCCCCTTTCAGACATGCGCCATCTTGATTTGGAACTGTAACCTCGTTGCAATTCTTTCACTGTCACAGGGACACAATCCTGGAACTCCCTTCCTGATAGCACTGTGGATGTCCCTACACTAAAATGGAATGTAGCGTTCAGGAAGGCAGCGCATTACTATCTTCTTGAGATCATTTAGGTTGGGCAATAAATGCTGATCTAGCCAGTATCACTCATTCTGTGAATTTTCTTTTTAATTGAACAACTTTAAAACAGTTCAGGAATCAAAAAATGAAGGCTAAACTATTAGATTAATCCATGATCGTATTTTAAATAGTGGTCTTTGATCTTATCCTCAGTTGCCACCCAGTGTTTGGAGACCGCATTTGGCATCTCCACAGATAATGAGGATCTTGCTGTGTCTCGGACACTCCCAGAGATTTTTACGGCTGCTGTTAAAGAGGTAGGAGAGAAAATATAGCCCCTAGGGCATGACCTGTCTAAATTGATATTTACTTATATTATTTTTCAATTATGTGAGCTTTCATTCCAAAAAAAAGTTGTTTCCATTCTTTCTGCCAAAGCATGCATTTAAAAATGGTGTCTATCTGTATCTGTGTCTGTGCTCTGCACAACTTGACAGGGGACCTGACTGCTGCTTCCAGATGTACAAGTTGATTCTTCTTTGATTCTTAGCATCAACTAGAATGAAGAACAATGTACAAGCTCCATGCTCCTTAATGCACTAGCTTGGGAATAAAAATGCTATAAGACCAGGAGACGTAGGGGGAACAGGAGACCACACTGCTTGTTGAATAGTGGAGCAGATCCAGCGAGACCATGACTGATCTGATAACCCACAACTCCACTTTACTGTCTTTACCCCATAACTTTGTAATCCTTCACTGATTAAATATTCCATTTGCCTTTTCTGTTACCCACCGAACTTAGATGCTAGCTTTTTGAGATTGACTGATGACTCCCAAACCTTTTTAGTCTGGAGCTTTCTATGTATTATTAAGCTCCTATAATCCTCCTGCCAAAGTACATAACCTCATTTCCCTACAATATATTCCATCTGCCAAGGTTTTGACCACTTGCTTAACGTGTCTCTATTCTTCTGCAGATTGTCATCGTCACTCCCAAGTCAGTAATATGTATGGTAAATAATTGTGGTCCCAGCACTGATCCCTGTGGAACACCAATAGTGACAGGTTGCATTCCTGATATTTCCGCCCCCACTTATCCCCACTCCGTCTTCTGTCAGTTAGCCAACCTTCTATCCATACTAATATCCTACCTTCAATTCCATGGGTTTTGTTGATGATAATTATTTGATACTGACGGTATGTGACTGAGACAAGTACTTGGAAAAACCCTGATTTTATACCTTTGGAAGGCCAGGAATACATTGTATATAAGCATGCCATAGCAATCATCAGTGTCCCTGTAAATTAGAGAGATAAATAGTGTTTTCCTGCTCTTGATACATTAGGGAATAGGGACAGTCCAATAATTTTTGTTTTAAATTCACTCATGGGATGAGGGCATCGCTGGCTAGGCCAGCATTTAGTGTCCATCCTGATTGCCCAGAGGGCAGACAAGGATCAACCACATTGCTGTGGTTCTGGAGTCACATATAGGCCAGACCAGTTAAGGATGGCAGATTTTCTTTTCTACAGGATAATAGTGAACCAAATGGATTTTTTTCTGACAATCGACAATGGTTTCATGATCGTCATTAGACTCTTAATTCCAAATTCTTTTTTCTTTTATTTAATTCATATTCCGTCATCTGCCATGATGGGATTTGAACCTGTGTCTTCCGGACATGCGCTGAGTTTCTGAATTACTAGTCTAGCAACAATATTGGTAGTCCATAGCCCTTCTCTATTGAATGATTTGAGTGATGTGAAGTCTTTGTGACCAGGGGCATTATGAAATTATTGCCAAGGCAAAAACTGGAAAATGTCCTTTCAAAGATATCCTCAGTCACTTAACAAATCTATTTCATTCGTGATTGTGACCTTTTTAGAATTAGTAGCTGTGTATCATAGTATGAGTGTTAGTCATTTAATTAACATGCTCTCTCTTAAACACTAATTATTGCAGTTGGGTGACCTTTTTAATAATAAACAATATTCTAATTTTGTACATCTCCCTCTCTTTCACCCCTCCTTCATGCCCAAGCATAAGCCTTTCTTTGTTTTGTTCATACTACTTTGACTGTTGTGACTTCCAAGTGGTTGCATAGCTGGTGTGATCCATGAGATAAGTGCATTAGTGAAGTGGAAGTTACTTGAAACTAAATAAGACATTTCTGTTTATTTCCAAATTGGATGCCCTTATGTTTAACTGCATTACATTAAAAGTGCAATGGTGCTTCAATAAAACTTGGATTTCCTCAAACATATTACCAGATCCTATGTCAAAGTACATTATGCTAGGCTGAAATTTGACTAAATGCCTTTTTTCATTTGCCATTTGTAAAATCCTACCTGAATCCCTTTGCTGTAGAAGGGCTTGGTTGAAATTTGTTTGCTGTCTGATATTGAGGTTGAAACTAAGATATATAACACTTCTCTTCCCCACCCCACATTTTGTTTACAGGAGATACCTAATGTGATTGTGCACTCTGTGCCTAATTCTCCAACTGTTGAAGATATCGCAAAAGCTGAGCAGTTGAAAACTGAAGGTAAAAATCATTGCTTGCAGTGAATATTTGTCATAATGTGTGTTCACTTCATAATGCCGTACTTAAATTTATTTACTGGATCAAACATGGCTTCTGGCCATGAACTTCTGCCAACTTTTTGCTGAGTTGGCATACCCGCTTTCAATATTTGGACTAGTAATTTACTTAGATCCACAACTTAAAACTTCTACCTCAGGTTCAGAAGAGTCAGTATAGTTGACCTACCAGAGTCTGCAATCTTATTTGTAAATCTCTTTTCAGTTAACAAAGGTTACTACAAATGGCACATTCAGAAAAAATGATCAAAAAAAACCAGGGTATTGGATCAATTGAATATCCCAAAAACTGGCACAGACAGAGTAGGCCAAATGCCATTTATATTTTAGTGGTATATGATTCTGTAATAAGTTGGCTGTTTCCAGTTCTAGAGCATGGCTCTATTACTACCTCAGTATGAGACCAATTGTCTGTTGAATTTTGTTGAATCTTGTGGAAATATTTAAAAGAAAGCTGTTTTATCTTTGGAAATAGGCAACCTATAACCTCAGCTTGTCCTGAGGTTTATGACCATTTGACATTTACTTTTAATCATCCATATTTGGCTTTTATGTAACATGTATATATTAGCACTTTGCGAAATTATGTTGGAGCCATTTCCAGTTACTCAAATGTTTTGAAGCTTTAACTAACAAATTTGGGAATTACAAGCTGTAAAAATAAAAAGGAATGAGCAAGAAAACAGTTTGGAAAAGGCAGTGGACTCATGATTAGAAGTGTGTTCAAACCTTAAAAGCTGCTGTCTGATTACAAGTTGGGTCATAAATGATAGCCAGGCTTCCTTAATAAACATGGAATTGATTCTGATTTTCTTTTCATCATTTAGGAAATGAGCAAATGAAAGTAGAAAATTACCAGTGTGCTGTGGATTACTACACAAAAGCCATTGAATTGAATCCAAGCAATGCAGTTTATTATTGCAATAGGTATGATGGATACCAGTACTGTTTTCTTCTATATGTCAAAAAGATTGACACAACCTTTGTGCAAACTAATCTTTAACTGAAAAGCAACTTCGGATGAGCTATTTATCAATGGGCGCATTCATGTTCAGTGATATCTTTTATTTTGCCCCTCAGCTTTTTATCTATAGTTCCCTAGTCTCGCACTTCACTCGAGCAGTGTGAAAAACGTGGAATGAGGCAATTCACAGAAACGAAATCAAAGGCTAGCCTGGCAAAATATTTGCATGGAATAATTTGGTATTGTAACAGACTGCTGAGCCTGTCTACAAACCACTTATAGATGTGTGCTACATTATATGCTAGTATGATATATTCAATTTAATAATAAGTGAAAAATGTGTACATGTGCGTGCAGTCATTCCTCCATATCTACGAAGGTTCCATTTCTGAGAACCCCTACAAATGACAAAATTCGTGAATGCAGAGCCTGTAAAAGATCACGTGTATGTGAGTTTTGCCACAGATGTTGAATTTTGTTGCAATTTACTATTTGGCGTGGATATAGGTGAATTCACAAGTCATGAACTCGTGGATTCTGGGGGGTATGTACTTTGCCTGTCAGCTTTATGAATCACTCCAATCATTGGGTTCTGCCTGATACCCATAAGATAACGGAGCAGAATTATGTCATTTGGCCCATTTGAATCCGCTTCACCATTCGATCAAGGCTGATTATGTTTCTTGATACCATTCTTCTGCCTTCTCCCCGTAACCCTGGATCCCCTTACTAATCTAGAACCTATCTCAATGTTGATGTCTGTCTCTCGCTCTGGCTCTCGCCCTTCTCGGCAGCTGTAACCTGCTGCACTTGTATAGTATGATCTGCCTGAAAAGTATGCAAGACAACACTTTTCACTGTACCTCTGACATAAGAAATCAAATCCATAGATTCATCACCCTGGCTGAAGAAATTCCTCCTCGTCTCAGTTCTAAAGGTTCGTCCCTTCACTCTGAGACTGTGCCCTCGGGTCTAGTCTCTCCTGCTAGTGGAAATATCTTGTCCGCATCCACCCTATCCAGGCCTATCAGTCTGCCATAAATTTCAATGAGGTTCCACATCATTCTTCTAAACTCGATCGAATACAGACCCAGAGTCCTCATCTGACAAGACCTTCATCCCCAGGATCATTCTTGTAAACCTCCTCTGGATCCCCTCCAATGCCAGCACATCCTTTCTTAGGTATGGGGCCTAAAACTGCTCACAGTCTGACCAGACCCTTATACAGCCTCAGCAGTACATCTCTGCTCTTTTCTAGCCTTCTTGGAATGAATGCAAACATTGTATTTGCCTTCCTAACTGCCAACTGAACCTGCACGTTAACCTGAACATAGAACATAACATAAGAACATAAGAGAATCCTGAACTAGGAGTCCCAAGTCCCTTTGTGCTTCAGATTTCTGAATCTGTTCCCCATTTACAAAATAGTCTATACCTCCTCTTCTACCCAAGTGCATAACCTCACACTTTCCCACATTATATTCTGTCTGCCGTTTTTTTGCCATTCTCCTAGCCTGTCCAAGTCCTTCTACATCTCCCCACTTCTTCAACATCACCTGTCCCTCCACCTATCTTTGAAGATGACACAAACTTAACAACAATGCCCTCAGTTCCTTTATCCAGATCGTTAATGTATAACGTGAATAGTTGTGGCCCCAGCACTGACCCCTGCAGAACTCTAGTCACCAACAGCCATCCTGAAAGAGGTCTCTTTGTCCCACTCACTGCTGCTGCCAATCAGCCAATCCTCGATCCATGCCAGTACCTTGCCCTTAATACCATGGTCTCTTGTTTAGCAGCCTCCTTTTGTGACATCTTGTCAAGTGCCTTTTGGAAATTCAAATAGATCATGTCCACTGGCTGTCCTTTGTCTAACTTGCCTGTTACCTTTTCAAAGAATTCTAACAGATTTGTCAGGCATGACCTCCCTTTGACGAAGCAGTGTTGGCTCAGCCTTATTTTACCGTGTACTTGCAAGTACTCTGCAATCTCATCCTTAATAATTGACTGTACTACCTTACTAACGATCGAAGTCAAGCTAACCAACCTATAGTTTCCTGTCTTTTGCCTCTCTCCCTTTTTAAATAGGGGTGTTACATAAGCCATTCTCCAGCACTCTGGGACCTCCCTGATTCCATTGGTATCTGAAAGATCGTCATCAATGCGTCTGCAATCTTCTCAGCTATCTCCTTCAGAAACTGGGATGCAGGATATGTGGTCTGGGTGATTTATCCACCTTCAGAGCTCTCTCAGCTTCCCCTTAGTGATGGCCACTTCACTCACCTCTGTATGCTGACTCCCATGAAGTTCCAGTGTTGTGCTGGTGTTTCATTTGCCTTATAGGCAACTTTTTTTATTTAGTTGAAATGATATCTCTTAAATTAATCCTGAAGTTTGATGTTTACTTGAATGCAATTTATTGAGGCACTGCATTGACTTTTAGTAGCAAAGTTAAACCAAAATGTTGTTTGTCCTTTGGGATGATCCCATGGGCTTCTCTGTTATGTTCCAGCCAGCAACTATCCCTCAGCCAAGATTACAGAAACAGCTTATTTAGTCATTACCTCATCGCTGTGTGTGGGACTTTACTGTGTGCAATTTGGCTTTCGTACTTCTTCTGTTGCTAATAGTGACGACATATCAGAAGTACTTTGCTGGTCGTAAAGGGCTTTTTGACTGAGATTGCGAAGGGTGCAAATTGTTGAATTGTACATCAATCTTGATGGCACAGAAGTGACATTAAAGTTCCAGAGGCTGACAAGAAGAATCAATAAGCCTTCTGTCAGGACTGAATTATGAATCCATTCAATCTCATTAAAAAAGAAGTCACTTAATAGGGTCTTTGAGGAGGTGCTGAGGGAAGCCATGAGTATCCAAAAGTTGTCTGTTGATGACTGGGCAGCTTCAACACATTTGTACTTGTTTTTTTTCTTGTGGTTTGCCCGTTTTGAATTTTGAGGATGCAAAGGTTTAGAATTGAATCTCTATTAATGCTGTGTATCATTATTTGTCCAATAATGAAACAAAAACAATAAATTCCTGTGAAAATTTAACTTAAAAAAAGAAAAGGCCAGCTGCTATTTTGGAAGCATTTAAAATTGGCTATTAGGTGTGTTATGCTCAGTTTTTATGAATTAGTTTTTGTAGAATATTAAGACATTGTAACATTATTTTTAAGAGAAGTGTTTTGAGTCTTGGTCCTCCCCTCTAAATGGTATGCAGAGAATGTGGTACAGGTGCTAAAGGTTGAATGCCTTTCTTCTTCAAAGTAGCACTTTTTAAAAAATAGTAAATGGACTGGGTAAATTGAATACAAAATTAAGGTTCAATATAACTGGACATGTGCGGGCACTGGTTCAAATTAGCGAGTGAAAATAAAGAGAATTTCAATTCATAATTGCTACTGTCGTGTCCTTGAATATCCGACAGTTCTTCTATCATTCCTTTACGCTTCAAGTAGAAAGATGGTTATGCAGGGAAACACATGGGAAATGTCTTGTTGATGGCAGCAGTGAACAAAGATGGAAAAACTCTGTCTTATTTCAGATTTTCAGCATCCACAGTATTTTGCTTTTCTACTTTTTGTAAATATACAAAGAATAAGAGTAGGCCATTTGGCCCATTGAGCCTGCTTCACCATTCAATAAGATGATGGCTGATCTGATTTTTTTTTTTCACAACCAACTCTACATTCGTGCATACCACTGATATAATCTTTCATCCACTGCCTGTATGACGAAAAAATTTCTGTCCCTTGAGGAAAAAGTTTAAAAGGTTTAATCTATGATCATACCCCTGCCCCCCCCCCCCCCCCCACAAGACGAAACATGCTTTCCATGTCTACCTCGTCAATTCCCTTTGATATCTTGTGTTTCGATTAAGCCACATTTGATTCTTCTAAATTCCAGACGAAAGTGACCCAACCAGTCTAGCCTTTCCTCATAAGGCAATCCACTCCTTCTGGGTATTAATCTCTGAACTGCTTCCAATACACTGACTTACTTCTGTAAGTACAGTGACCAGTACTGTATTTAGTGCCCTAAATGCGGTCTCCCCAATCCCTCTAGATAACTGAAGGGTAGTCTCCCTACTCTTGCATTTAATTCCCCTCATTTTTCTACCTATCTTTGTGTAATTGGTAAATTTGGCTACCATATTTTTGGTCCCTTCATCCAAATTATTGATATGAGTGAAGGAGCAAATTACTGTCGATGCTGGAATCTGTACTGAAAACAAATGTTGGAAATCTCAGCAGTTCGGGCAGCATCCATGAAAAGAGAGCAAGCTAATGTTTTGAGTCTAGACGACTCCATCAGAGCTGGTGAAGCTGTGATGAAAAGTCATCTAGACTTGAAACATTAACTTGGTTTCTCTCTCTACGGATGCTGTCTGAGCTGTTGTGATTTCCAGCATTCTTTGTTTTCAGTCATTGATATGAATGTTGGATATGAAAAATGAAGGGAAATAACAATAGTAATATTTAGGCCTAAGATGCAGATTACTGGTAGAGAGAGAATCTTCTACAAACAGTTAGTGGATGGCTGATTAAAAGAGAGAGAGGGTAATCAGTGAAATGGAAAGCCAAGCTTATAATTAGGTTGAGATGTATGAAGGTTGCAGCATCTCGGATAGTTAATACTGAGCAAGTGAGAAGCTCGGGCTGAGCAATCCATTTCTTAACTACAGTTTTTTTTTTAAACTATGTGTGCATGGCGTGGTTCATAGGTGTCTAACTTGCTTCGTTATAGCAAAATCCAGTATTAAAATGTTCCCAGCTTTATTGGATGCAATGTTACCTGGTTTTGCTGGTCACCATTTTTGTGTTCTTTTGCAGGGCAGCAGCGTTGAGTAAATTAGGAAACTACACTGGAGCAGTGCAAGACTGTGAAAAGGCAATAGCTTTTGACCCAAGCTATAGCAAAGCTTATGGCAGAATGGGGTAAATAGAACTCTTTTTTTTTTTTTTTTTTTTTTTTTTTTTTTTTAAAAGACCCATTTCTCTCCTGATCCACTTCCAAAAGTTCTGTAGAGGAGGGTTCTGGGCACTCTACTCAAGTAGACCCTCTTCATTTACCAATCTAGCCAACTTGAACATGGGAGGATGTCGTCAGTACTGGATGTCCACATCATTGCTAGAGTTTACTAGCAAGGATATGGCAGTAGAAATCCTGTATTTTTCGTCCCCCTAACCCAGAAGGCCGAGAACAGGTGTGCATCTTCAAAGTAATTTGATATATGCTGACTTGCCACACCACAGACGAAGCCTGGTCTGTATATTTGCTACTCAGCGTCTTCACCAGCTGAGCCTTTATTGTTTGAATATGTGGCATCTGTAGCTATGAATTTAACACATTTTTAATCTATGCTGACATTTCAGCAAAAATACATTGCAGTGTAGTCCTAAATATTGTGACCTAAACCACAAGACTAAGTAAAGAATTCTCCTTGATATTTTGGATGGTGGATTGTTTGTGAGTAGATATATCCCATAGGACTGTAGGTGCTATACCAAATGGTGGCAGCAGCAGTAAAATGACATTGGACCCTCTGGTGGCAATGTTTCCCCTTCAGCTTAAGTTGGCAGTGATGGCCAGGTGGCTTTTATGCTAACTTGGGTTTGCTTTATCTGTTACTTTTATTTCTCATTTTCTGTCCCCTTTATCTCATTCCATACTTGTGATTTGTGTCCAATCTAGTGAAAGACTGCGTACAAACTAATTTTGGCCATGGCATTCTGCAAGAATAGTGTCTAAAGATTAACCTTTAACTAGATAAATTGTGAGACTGCGGGAGAGGCTAATGCTTCCACACACCATTTCCCTTGTACGTCAAACAGCCATCCTTTTGCAACTTTAATAATAAGAATTGAAGCTATTAGGTTGCTGTTGTCCTAGATATTTTACAGCTACTGCTCAGTTATTATGCAACTGATCTGACTAGGTACCCAGCTACTACTGGTATGACACGTCTATTTCCAGAGATATGTTAATACCGAATCATTGATCCTTGCTTTCTTTCATTGAGTCATGGATGAAATGAATTTCTTCAAGCTGAGATTGGAAGATCAAAGCTATCATTCCCTAACCTTGTGCCAACTTCAGCCCTCTTAGTTATTTTCTTGGATTGAAGCAGACTATTTGTAATCCGAGCATCCTACTCAATTCAAACTTGAGTTTCTGATCTCCGTTCCTCTCCATTGTGTTGACTGGTGATTTCCACCTCTATTATCACTTTTTCATTTAAACTAATTAGTGGGAGGAAGCTTTAGGAGAAGGGAAGTGAAAGGATATGGTGGTGGTGCAGATATTCAGAGTGACACAGGAAGGAACAGAGTGTACAAGCATTTTTTTAAAAAGCAGCAAATAGGGTCAAGGGGAGGAAAAATAGTAAAAGCAAAATTAATGGTATGTAAACATACATAGTATTTGGAACAAAATAAATCAATAACAGCACAAATAGAAATTAGTGGGTTTGGTCTAATAGCCATCACTGAGACATGGTTACAAGGAGTTAAAAGCTGGGATCCAAATATTCAGAGGTGTGAAAGGTCAAGCAGGGAGGAAAGGGTGTTAGGGTAGCTTTGTTAATGTACAGTAGAATAAGGACAACAGCAAGAAATGGTCTTGAATTAAATGTAGAATCCATTTAGGTTTGGGTAAGAAATAACAATGGGAAAAGACACTCGTGGGAGTAGCATATAGGCTCACTAACAGTATTTGTGCTGTAGGACAGAAAATAATTCAGGAGATAATGAGGGCATGTAAAAATGGAAGTACATTAATCATGGGTGACTTTAATTGTTGTGTAGCTTGGAGAAAATCAAATTGGTAGAGGTGGCAATGAAGAATTTAAAAAATAGTGTATTTGGGATAGTTTCTGAGAAAAATGTGCTGTGGATACTATCGAGGATTAGGCTGTTTTGGATATTGTAATGGGTAAAGAGGCAGGTTTAATGAATGATCTCTAGGAAACATGACAATAATAAAGGAGAATTTAGCATTCAGGTTGAGAGTGAGAAAGTTGGGTCAGAAGCAACTGTGCTAAACTTAAGTGTAATTACATAGGGATGCATACACAGAGTTGGCTAGAGTAGAATGGGAAAGTTTAGTAGAAAAAAAAGATTGAGGACTAATGGCAGATTTTTAGGAAAATAGTTCATAACTGTCAGTGAAGTATATTCCAGGAAGAAGGATTCTAAGAAGGGCATGAACCAACCACACTTAACTAAGGAAGTTGAGGACTGTATTAAATTGAAAAAGATAACATGCAATGTGGCAAAGATTTACGGTAAACCATAGGATTGGGAAAGTTGCCCAACAAACAAAAGATAACCAAAGAAATAATAAAGGAAGAAAATAAACTGAAGGTAAAGTAGCAAGTAATCTAAACGTGGACAGCAAAAGCTTCTTTTTCCAATATACAGAAGGGACGAGAGGCCAAAATAACAGAGGCCCCTTAGGGAATGAGGCTGGGGAAATAATAGGGAAACCAGAAAATGACAGCAGCAATTAATTAACTTTTTTTTAAAAAATGAGTCTTCCAGGTTGAGGGCATTCCAAAAATACTAAATCAAGGGGCAAAAATGGGGCAAGAAATAAATACAATAATCATCATTAGAGTACTAATGAAACTAATAAAGCTCAGACCCTAATGAAACTAATGAAGCTTAGCTTCTCTAGATTCAATGAGATACATCCTAAGAAACTAAAGGAAGTAGCTACTCCAATTAATGGAGATGCTAGTAGTAATCTTCTAAGAATCCTTAGGTTCTGGAAAAGTCCCAGAGGATTGGAAAAGTACTAATGTAAATCATTCAAAACACGTAACTATAGACCAATTGGCTTAATTAGGAAAATGTTAGAGTCTATTATAAAGGATGTACTAGCAGAGCATTTAAATTTAGATTTAGAGAGTCATGAGGAAATCATGACTGACAAAATTTATTAGAATTTTGAGGAGATGACACATATGATAGATAAAGGAGAGTCCATTTAAGACCAAGATGAGAAGGAATTTTTCTAAGGGTAGTACATCTGCAGAATTCTTTACCACTTCAGACTCCATTATGCTTGATGTCCTTCTCAGCTGCCTTCCCTCTGCAACCCTCTATTTATTTCAGTTCATCTAAACTTTTGTTGTGTATATTCTCACCCGTGACCTATGTGACCCTATGTTCTACAATCTCTCTCTATGAAGATTCTTTTTCTTTGTGTTTATATTTTTGAGACTTCCCTATCCCTATTTATCACCTCCTCAAACCACAGCTCTTATATTATTCCTTGTGACTTTTTTGCAGTACTTAGGGATATTATTCCACTTACAAGGGTGGTGTACAAAGTGTGAATGGAAGATAAGCTGCATTCTGTTGAGTAGAGGAAAAAAATTATTCCTTGATATTTAAGAGGCATCAATACAATTCTTCCTAAATAATTCCAATAATAAACTGTTGAAATGCTGTTGCTTTAACTCGTAAATATTTAAAAACAGAGCTTCAACGTCATAGGAAAAGGAATAAAGAAGTAATTCTCAGTTCAGGATTTAAATGTGCAATCAAATAAAAGAACAAGATGGTTTCAGATTGTTGGTGTGGCATAATATATTTCGTAATGTTCAGGGATAGCCTAGTTAGAATCTTGCCCTCGTCCAGCATTGGCTTCCCACAGTCTCAGTTGCCTATCTCAGTAGAGATTTTAGACTCTGCATGAGGAAGAGGAAAGGTCTCAAGCACAGAATAAGAGCTTCTGTTTCATTTGCTGTCATGTAAACTGCAAAAATTGTCATAGTCAATTGATCTCATTTTGGCGTCTGTAGAGGATAAAGGTATATCTGAATCTTTTGAAGTGTGCTTAACTGTACTGTTCGTCATTGACAAGTCATACTACCCAACCTGAGGTGCAAGTATCTCTTGCCTTATTCAGTAAATGATTCATCTCTTGATACGTAAGGTCTTGAGCTCGAGTCATAGACTTGAACCCATTACATTGGTTGATATTTTATTGGAGAGCTGAGAGAGCATCTGAACTCCGCCATCTTTAGTACCTTAAACTTAGGCCCTTCTGCTTGCCCAGATGGTAGCAAAAAGATTCCATGGTATGATTCAAAAAAATGTTGCAAGATATTCTTCAAAATCATGTTAAAAGTTCTTCCCTTAACTCATCACTTAAAAAAAGTCATTTATTATTGTTGCTACTCTTTGTAATGATTAACCTTCAAAAATAATTAGCTAGCTGTGAAGGGCTTTGGATGTGGTGAAGGGAAATTGCATTGTAGAAGTAATGTCACTGAACAATTAATCATAATGCCCACATTGATGTTCTGAGAATGTGGGCTTGAATCACATCATGGCAGCTGGGGATATTTAAATTCTATTAAGCCTGGAATTGGAAGCTAGTCTCAGTACTGTTGACTGTGACAACTATCATTTATTGTCATAAAAATGTATCTGATTCACTAATATCCATTAGAGAAAGAAATCTGCTGTCCTTACTTGGTCTGGCCTACGTACAATGTGATTGACTCTTAAATACCCTCTAAAATGACCTAACAAGCCACTCAGTACAAGGACAGTTAGGAATTGGCAACAAATGCTACCCTCCCTAACAATGCCCACATTCAATGAAAGAATAAAACAAACTATTTAAATTAAAGGTTTTTATTGCTTTTTGTGAAATCCTAGCACATTTATGATGAAATTTTAGCATTTCATATTTATACATTTGTGTAGAAATCTAAAATAGAAACCTAGACAAAGACTGTTAATTGATTTTGATTTCATTTCAGCTTGGCCTTGGCTAGTCTAAATAAATACAGTGACGCAGTAAATTACTATAAAAAGGCTCTGGAGCTGGACCCTGAAAATGAATCTTATAAAGCAAACCTCAGTATAGCAGAACAGAAGATCAAGGATGCACCAAGTCCAGTAAGTGCTGAAATGAAATAAGGATCTGCACATCCTGTGAGGACCGAAGATTAAGTTCACATAAAAGCAAACTGTTGTCTGAGATCAATTTACAAGGGCTTGTCTTTACAGTAACGTGAATGTACAGAAACTAGGTCCAGAATTTTGTTCCAGCAATTCTGTGAAATGAGAGTAAATAGTGTATTTTCAAATCCAAGTATTCCTCTTTTTTTTCTCAATTTTTCTGACTGTGTTTTTAAACCATTGACATTTTTAACAAAAAAAATCAAGTATGAAACCTTTTAGCAAATGGGGTACTAGGGTGGTGGGATGTGGTTGGTGGGGGGGTGGAGAGAGAGGGAGAGGGAGAGGGGTTATTTGTACTAGTCAGTTACGCTGTTGTAGGAAAGAAACTGCCCAGAACATCTCTAGATTGAAATGCTGTGTGTTGTAATTCCATGTTGAACTGATATCAAAGCCTCCTCACTCTATAATGGAGTTGATCCATCTGGCAGTGTAGAACAAACGTTCTGTTTCTTACCGTACAGTGCTGTTTTACATGTCTATTTTTGTTTTAGGAGTAAGTATTAGAAATCTTCGAAAACATGCTTTGCAAATCCTGTATGATCATGTGCATGATTTCAAATTTATAAAGGAATTTTAGAAGATTGACTACTTCGGTTGTATGTCCTTTGCAGAAGAATGGGGGAGAAAACGTAGAGCTGGTCTTCATGACAAGTTTTTAAAATAAGGTACCCCAGACTGCCTCAGCAGGGAATGCCTTCATTTAGTTGTTGAGTAATTAACGCATTATGAGGATTGATCCCCAATCTGTGCTGAGTGGCCAATTTCAGCAAGGATATTTTAGGGGACACAGTGATTCAGTGGTTGAGGAAAGAAAGTTACTACTTGTATTCCATTACATCTGAACCTATTTATCCTGTGAGCAGGTTCATTTTAGTCACAAGTGTAAAAGGCTCTTATCACTGAAAGAAACTAAATGAGGTCGAGGAAAAGGAAATATGTAAAGATAACAGTGTGGAGGTAAACGCAGCAATTCAAACTAAAGCTGTAACAAGTGCATATGATTTACTTGGATTCATTTCTAGCCAGCAGGTTAGAAATTTGTTTAGAATCCTAGTTAAACCACATTTGAAATATAGTGCCTATACTGGCAGAAATAATATTGAAGAACCAGAGAAAGCACAGAAAAGATGTATAATGGTATTTCTAGGAGACAACACAAATGCAAGGAAAGAGTGGGTAGATGGTGCTCACTCTCCTGAGGTCTGATGATTTCCAATCATGAAGACGCACGATGAGGTGGATTTGAAAACTTGCAGTGAACTCATGCTTGATTAGAAATAAAGCAGCATAAACATTGTATAGTCATCAGCAGATTGAAGTATTTAGAATTCCTTTTCACTGATGGGCAAGAATGGAACTTTGTTCAATGTGGAGTAATTGAAGAAGAGAACATCGATGCTTTTATGGGAGGCTTGATGTTTACGCAAGGGAGAAAGAAATATTGGATATGTGCACAAGGTAATAAGTAATTAGAGTGGAGGAAGTTCCTGTGGAGTATAAACTCTGGCATAGACTAATTGAGCTAAATGGTCTATGTCCTGTGTTGTGAAGTCAAATATTTTTCTAAATATACACAAATCTTGCAAAGTTTTAATTAAATTTAAATTTTGTGGGTGTCATTTGGTGATCATACCACCTGTGTCTTGTTGAAGATAGATTATTTTTAGCTGATCACTATTGCCTGCAATTTAAGGCAAGATTACACTTCTACGTTATTCTCTGCAACATCCTGCATGAACGGTCTCCATTTCTCTTTGAGTCAAAAGTACTTTTGTCATTGAAGTCTTTAATCAAAGACCATGATCATTAATCACATTTTAAGTATTTTGTCCTTTTCCCTCCTCTTTCCAAATGTAGTGTTATAGCAATTCAATCTGTTGTTCAGTATTGGAATAAATCCTGAAATCTGTACAAGCGTGTTAGAAGAGGAGTCTACTGTTTCCAGCCACCCCAGCATGGACCTAAACATAGTCTCATTTTGTGCCCGCTACTTTGCAACCAGCACGTCCTCTTAATTTTCTTTTGTCCTCTGCGGTCTATTTATTTGAGCATGGTGAGCTATCAAATTGTTTTCTGTACATCAGTGCAGTAACTTAATGGGGCCAATTTGTATTTCGTTGTTGTGTAGTTGTGCAAGTTTGAGGGCTGTAAACAACGTTTCCCTTTTTAATAAAAGGGCAAATTTTACATACAGCACTCTTTTTTTTAACCTGGTGTTATGGCAAGTTAGGAGAGACAATGAAAATATTTGCTTTTGGCAGATATACTTCAAGAATCTTGTGACTCTTTGTACAAGAGTTGGGAAGTTTTCTTTTCGTTATCCGAATGGGATGATTTTATTTGAGAGTGGAAACTAGTTGAATTGTTTACTTCAAACTTAGCTGACCAACTGACCAACTCCTGAACTGGCAGAATGATTGATTGGACAGTCGAGCGGACTTGTTCTCCAGATGTGGAGACTGCAGAAACTGGAGAGGGTTCAGAAAAGATTTACCAGGATGTTGCCAGGAATGGAGGGTTTGAGTTATAAGGACAGGCTGGATCGACTGGGACTTTTTTCACTGGAGCATAGGAGGTTGAGAGATGGCCTTTATTAGTTTTATAAAATCATGAGGAGTATAGATAAGGTGAACGGAAGGTGCCTTTTCCCTGGGGTGAGGATTTCATGACTAGGAGGCATATTTTTAAGGTGAAAGGAAGAGATTTAAAAAAAGACACGGGGGGGCAATTTTTTTGTTTTAACAGAGTGGTTCGTATGTGGAATAAACTGCCAGGGAATGTGGTGGATGCGGGTTCCTTTTATAAAGTTTAAAAGCCATTTGGATAAGTTTATGAATAAGAAGGATAGGGGCCAAGTGCAGGTAGGTGGGACTAGTTTAGTTTGGGATTATGGTCGGCATGGACTGGTTGGATCAAAGGCTCTGTTTTTGTGCTGTATGACTCTATGATTGATATTAGTCCTCCTTCCCATTTCACGCAACCAGAATCCTCTCGATTTTAGCTTACAGAGAATTTGTTCTTTTTCACCCAGACAGGAGGCAGCGGTGGGTTCGATCTGGCAAGTTTATTGAATAACCCAGGCTTCATGAATATGGTAATTCTGCTTGGTGTCTCTTTTTACTTGCTCCTTTTTATGACTTTGTTTTTATTTTCCTAATTGGCTGTCCCTTCAAGACCGCTTATCCCCTAATAACCTCCATAGGGTGAAAACATTCCATGTGATGAATTTATTCCACTACTACTGTGCAGCCAGCATTTTGGTTGTTTTTCCAGCGAAGATTACTTGCCAGTCTCTGATTATTCCATTAATAATATTTCTACAAGGTGTCTCAGTGGGAACCAATTGAAAATGTTGTCATCAGGATTTTTGTCTGATACAAACATGAAAATGTTCTCCTGCATCCACGTGTACTTCCTGATGTCACAGGTTGATTCCATTTCTTTCCTTCCAATCTTGAGTTATGTCTGGGTTGGAGTATTGTCATACTGCAGTAGAGTGACATACACAAGTTGGTGGTGATGGAAGCAGAATATGGTGATGAATTAAACATATTCCCAGCATTATTTGACTTGAACACTTAGCCCAGTAACAATAGATCATCTCTCCATTGTAATAGTAAGGTAGATTCGACACTCTAAATTTCTCCCCCAAATTTAGTTGGAAGACCAGCGCTACAACTAGGAGTTTCACACAGTAACAGTCTTTTATTTGAATGTCATTTGCATCCTGTAATGTGCAATGCTATTTCTTCATGCTTGAATGCTTAAAGGAAATTTGAATATAAAAGTTTCTTGCAAATGTACATGTTTATTTGTATGAAAACAAATGAAAGAAATGATTTTAATTGACTAAACTGATTTTTCAATTGTTTCTTCTTTTTAGGCATCAAGTCTAATGCAAAATTCGCAAGTACAACAATTGTAAGTCCCTTTCCTACAAATGTTTTTCTTTTACCCCCTGTTAATTCTGATAAATCTATTAATTTAGTGATTTGTTTCCAATTCTGTTGGACAGAATGTCTGGAATGATGTCTGGGTCCTATGGTCCAGTAGGAAGTGGTGGAGCAGGAACTGGGGCAGGAGCCAATGATATTGCAGGCCTCATCCAAGCGTGAGTTTGCTTTTCATTGTTTCCCTATCTACTTCAGTTACAAGTCAAGATCTTTTTAAGTAAGGTTAGAAGCAAAGATCAACTGTCCATGCCTCTGCTCATAAGTAAATCCATTTGCTTCTTGTATTTTCATTCTTGAAGGATTTCCAATGGTTTTCAGGTCAGCCTTACTCTTTTTTTAAAAAAATGATACGTACTGCCCTATTCTGCCTGTTTCTGATTTTATGCACGCATATACACCTAGCATCTGATACCTGATGTGAAGGCAAAACCTGAGCAGTGAATGCTTAATACCGGTAGAACTGCAAATGTTTTGATAATAATGACAACGAGAAGAAACGTTAGATATTTGTTCAACTTGAAAAATATTTCTGTAGAATAAAAGATGGGAAATCCAACTTTGATTATTGATCATCTTGTTGATGTTTCTAATCAGCCTCTTCAGAGGTATTAATACACATCTGGAGCAGGTGAGACTTGAACCCATGCCTCTTGCCTCAGAGATAGGGACACTACCACTGCATCACAAGAGCTCCTACTGATCATCTTGTATACTTAGGAACAAGAGGAGGTCAGTCAGCTCATCAAATTTGTTCCACCTTCAATCAGATCACGGATTATCTGCATCTTAACTGATTAAGTTTCCATTTTCTTCATTTAGTTAAAGTCATGAAAGTGATCTTCCTGTTCAGATTTCATAATCTAAAATAAAGATAATTTTTCACTCCAGTCCATTAGAAACATTCTAATTGGGAGCAGAAGTAGGCCGTTTAGCCCTTCAAGCCTGCTTAGCTAATGAATAAAATCATGACTGATCAATTCCAAAGTCCATATTCTTATCTATCCACAATAGATTTTTGTTAGAGAAACAAAATGATATCTGCTTCTGCCTTAAAATATTCAATGATGTATAGTTTGGATACTTTGTCTTTAACCACAGCGGTTGTGTCAGCCTCCACTCAGTTGATGCATACTTGTCTGAGTCGGTATTAAACCAAAACTACATCTGCTTTGCACACACCTGCTTCTGTATTGTCCTACTTTTACAGCAATGCCAGTAGTAAAAGTGTTTCATTAAATGTGAGGTGTTATTGACCGGGCTGAGGGCAGAAAAGATCTGGTATAAATGAGAACTGTTTCCTTGCTTGAAATCTCTCCTGTGTCATCAATTTGGAAACTCTTGAATTCCAAAATTGAGTAGATGGCCACCACTTACAGGGTGCCTTTGGCTGCCTTGAGAGATTATTGGCTTACTGATTTATTACAACAAGTGTTTTACTAGTTCATAAGCTGGAATTTTCACTACCTGTGACTTGTCCACAAAATTGTAGTACTGTAAACAAGTCATGTAGATGTTGATGAGATATTGACCTGCATTTAATTTTTGGCCCCCACTGTTGCTTTTAGATGTCTGGAAAGTGTTTTTGATCACAGCAGATTGTCACATGCATGGAGTCTATACAAATAATTTCAATGGTCTCTTTATTTTTTTCTTTTTTAAACACAGAGGACAGCAATTTGCACAACAGATGCAGCAGCAGAATCCAGAGCTAATTGAACAGTTACGGAGCCAAATCCGGAGCCGAACCCCGAGTGCCAGCAATGAAGAACAGTCCTAACTACATACAAGGCAAATACTGTTTTTATAGTGAGTTGGAGGTGTAGCCAAATGTAGAAGCTAACTTCAGAGATATGGGAAAACATCAGTCAGGAAGCCCAATTTAAAGTTTTCATTGTATTTTACATTTAATTAAAATGATTACTTGTTAAAGAGTTTTGCCATGCACTTAGCAACAAAATTGCCATGAATATAAAATGATTTGCTGCTTTATGGAGTGTAGAGAGACAAATGTCAAAAGTGTTAAGGACTTTATCGACAAGAAGATCCTTAAGATGAGATAAATATTAAAATAAGGCAGAAGCTTCTTAATTCTGCTGCCTGTAGCTCCTGTATTTCACTCTACTTTTTGAACAGCATATTGGCAGTCTCAATGACCAAGTACTCAGTTAACTCCTCCACACTCCTTTGTGTTTCTCGACAAAGCAGCTTAGGACTTATTTTTAAAGTGTTAATGTTGCGTAAATATAAGTTGTTGACAATGTTACAGAGAAAGGGAGGTTAAATGAAAGAGAATCCCTGATACTCATTTTATAAAAACTAACAATTTATTCATTTAACCCTAATAGTGAGCAAATTAATACAACTACTGCCAAACTGAACAATTCCTCCCTAACTCCTAAGTATTCCCTAACTGAACTAAATTCTACCAGTATGCTGTTCCAATAAACACAAGTCCTACTTCTACAACCCAAGTAGTAATAAAAAAACATAAATTAAAACTTAGTCTCTCAAAGTCCACACAGAATGTTTGTTTCTTCTGGAATGTTCTGCCTTCTCCACGTTATAAATGCCTCTCTTCTGCTGTTCTCCAATCATAAATGCCTTTCTTCTGTTGTTCCTGCTGACAGGGATGTTTCCTCTGTGGAGGCTCTTAACTTGAGGTGCTGTGGTACCTCTTATGGATAAGATGGTGCTTTCTTACAGAGCTTAGTGATTTCTTGTGAGAGCTAGGTGCTTATTTCTCAGATGGCAGTTTGCTCTCTCACTGATTTTCAAAAACCCTCTCCTTGTTTACCTTGGATGACGTATCAATTTTCTTACAATAGCATTGGTCCGAGGTTGTCAAAACCATCAGTTTTAAATTCAATTGGCTTTCATTTGTTAAGTGCTTGGTTTAAATTAATTGGCTTATTCCAGCTTGTTGCTAAAGCATTCAAAACATGCCTAAGGTTTCTAATCATAGCCAATAGATACATGTTTCCACTTTAGAACTGGCTGTACATCTTCAGCTGCGTACAGATGCTTTTTTTCCCTGTATAAATCTCTAAGCTTAGAAAAGTACTTATCTCTTAAAGGAACCATGCACTGTTCTCCCTTATCATTTTTTACAAACAAGTTCTAGCTTCCTGCCTTCCAATTCACGATTACGCTACACAACTTTGTAACAACAGATAAACTTGCGCAAAACATTTATTTAATTGAAGAGATGGAGAAATGCCTTGTGTTAGGGAATCTGTTGTCATATTCTATTTAGTCCCTGGGTTGAATGATAAAGTTTAACCGCTAAATGGTACAAGACTAGCAGATCTAATCTTCAAACACAATGCATGAGCAGAAGAGAAAGGAGAATTTAAGGGGACATTAAATTGAGAATCCTGAGAATTCAGTGTATTCAGCATCTGAAAATTGAAAATTTTGAGGTTTTCAGATTTTGCTGACGTGCATTTCAACATTTTCTGACATTATTGACCAGGCGATCCCGAATCTGAACTGACTTAGCTGATCGCAGTCAGGATAATGGGAAATGCTCTACTCTTGTCCAAATTTCCTGTTTCTGCTGAATCCTACCCAGTGTTGGAAAGTGCACAGGTTGGCTCATGCTGGCTTGCTTGTGATGCCCCTTGTAGGTATATGGCCTAGAAACACTGCTAATGAAGAGTGATTCTTCATATGGAATGGAAGAGAGTGACTTGACAGTGGAACCCCACCCTTGCATTTTCAGTATAGCAAGAGGGGGGAAAAGATTTATTTTAATAATTATCAATATGATTGCTTTTGAATGAAAACTTGAAATTCCTCTCATGCATGTGAATTAATTGTTATATGTTAATTTTACAGATATACAACAACAGATGGAGATTGTTTGTTCTCCACTTTGACATCAGGAACTTGAAGTAATGATTTGTACTGTCACTTGCATGTTCAGGAGGATCCTCAAAGTGGAGAGCTAACCACTTGTAAATATGGAATTTAAAAAAGGAACTGGGTTTCAAGCTTGCAAAAACCACTAATTGACCTTTCTGTGGAAGTTATGTATTGAGCTTTCTGTGATTCTCTAAGTTTTTTTTAAAAATCAGAATATTCACAGAGGAACACCTCGCTGCTTTTTATCACTTCTCCAGAACGTCTGTTATCATGTGAGATTCCACTGTTCGTTCTTAAAAACAACAGAGGCTAACAGCAATGGCTCCACACCTCACCTTCTCAATACTGACGTTTCCATAAGAAATTGTTTTGCCTGTAACAGTTTTTTTTTCCCCGCCATTTTATCCGTTCAGCGGAATGGAACAGCAGAGGCCATATGTATAAATTCAAACAAATTCTGCTCACAGTGTGATTAACATCACTTGTTTTTCATTCACGTAGGCTTTTTTAATGTTGCAGAACATTTTATAAAAATAGCACAAGAATTTGTGTGTAACCTTATTAAAATTAACAATTTGAAACCGAGAGGCAAATATGAATATTAAATTAGCCTTGGGAGTGAAATGGTGAAACTTTGCTCAGTGGCAATTGTTTGAGAAATTGTTAACATTACCAGCTGAATTGAAATGCGATCAACTTTGTTTGTACTTGATGTATTTTAGGGAATGCATTTACAGAATGGACTCCAGAAGCTGCATACAGGAAGAAGAAAAGGCATCCATGTATTATAATATAAATGACCACTTAAGATTGAAGCATCCTAGTATGGCAGTCACACTTTGCGACAGCAACAACTCCTCCTGATGCTACCAAAGCCCCGCATTTGAGGATTGACCATATAGTATGCATTGTTCTAGCTGTAGAAATAGAACGTCTTCATTAGCAGCCAGTGTTTCTAGCCAATGTTTGCTCATAAGGGAGAGACGAATAGATTGTGAGCACCTCCACTTTAATTACTCAAGATATTGAGTTGGAATTTATGTATAACTATGGAATCTGTTTTCAAATCTGCATAAGATATTCATAGAAGTATTTTGGTATCCTTTTTGTGCACCATGGCTGAACATGTTTCACATGGCCAAGACCACTGGTTTGCAGTTTTTATGGAAAAGTGAGATAATGCAACCCAAAATGCTGCTGATAGTCCCTGTAATAAATTTGATTTATCTGTTCAACAGAAAATTAGTGACTAATTAATTCATTCTAAACTTACTGGATCACAGAATGCAATCAGAAATACACAGCTTTCAAAAATAAACCTGAAATTCCACATCATAAAAATTGAATCTGATTCATTCAATCACTGTAAACTACTGGTTCTGCAAGCAGACTCTTCCAGGGGAGGGGTATCCCAACTATTTGTCTTCATGTTTTGTCACAAAGTCTCATGGAATAAAGTGCAAGGTCCTATTTGTTTATGTATCTGTAGGTTTCTCATACTAATGGATCTTGATGTTCTGTCCCAGGATTTATCTAACAACCATGATAAGGACAGTCCTTTACAAATCGCCTTGCTCTTAAAGTACAACAGGACTAACACTAAAGTAGGAATATGAGAAATACAATTCACATTGAGTCATCTGGGAGTTTTGAGTGCCAGGCCAGTCCTGTGCTTGATTCACTAGGTTTCAGTGTCCTAGGAATAAATTCACTGTAAACATTTGTTATTTCTTTTAGCAAAAACACAATTACTCCTTGGAATTGTTTCCACATAAGGTGCAACTCCTCAAGTTCCTTGATCCCGTTTAGCATAATTAGCAGTTAAGCAAAGCTAAAACAAAGTGAATATTTTAAGCAGTGTTTCAGCGCACCAGATGCTAGGTATTCTTTCCATTTGTAATTATGAAAGTTG